AAATGTATCCTTGCCATGCAGTAAGATGGGCTAAGTAAAGCCTGAGCCTTTCTAACTTCTCAAAAGAAGCTAGGTGTCTGGATTTTTATGTGAAAGTTCCCAATTCTTAAAACACCATGTGGGTTAAAAAACAAGAAACAAACAAACAAAATAAAAAACACTTTTCTGCAGGCCAGCGACAGCCCATGGGACTCCAGTTAGACACTAAGAAGAAGTTTCTCAGAGTTCAGTCTTGAGGAAGAGTCCCTGGGTAGTGCAAGAGTTAACATATTGGCTGCTAACCAAAAGGTTGAAAGTTTGAGTCCACCTTGAGGTGCCTCAGAAGAAAGGCCTGGTGATCTGCTTCTGAAAAATCAGCCATTGAAAACTCTGTGGAGCCCAGTTCCGACACCACAGCCTGCTGTCTTTGATTTGTCATGTCTGGTCTGTTTCCCCATGCCAGGCACAGTGCTGGGTGCCTGTGCACAGCTGTTGAATAACTAACCAGCAGGTACAGGCCTGGGGCAGATGGAGATGAGTTCTGAACTCCAGTGTGCAAACAGGGCCACAGGTGCTTGACCTGTCTGCTCAGTAGGAATCCATGCCCACTTTAGATCTTGGTGATGAGCATGGGGCAGGGAAGAAGGGTCTTCTTCCTGGACTGCTGTTGGTCTTCATCATGGGGCCACTCAGCAATTGATCTAAAACAGGGGGATTCAAAGTGTGTCCCCTGTGTAAGCAGCATCACCTGGAATTGTTAGAAATATAGATTCTTGGACTCCGTGGCAAACCTACTGCATCAGAACGCCATGGGCGAGGCAGCCATCTGAATTTTTGTCAAGTTCTCCAGAGGATTCTGATGGATGGTCATGTCTGAGAACCACTAATCTAAGAGCATGGTCTTGAGATTCCTCAAAATGTTCACTTCTGTAGAAACAGCTATGTGGGGCATGGGCTTGGGAAACCCCTGGGCTATGCCCTCCCTGTTTGCTTGTGTCAAGACATTCAAAGTGGACAAGTGGGGATTCCACAGTGGGGAAGAGGTATTCCTGACAGCTCCAGTGATAGGAAGTTAACACTTCACAAGCTGGGGATTTTTATTTTTATTAACCCTAAAGAAGATGTGAGAATCTGACTTAATCTCCTTAGAGACAGAAAATATCTTTCAGGAAACTTCTGAAGTCTTAACAGCCAAGGAGATGTGAGCATGGGGAAGTGAGCTATCTTCATGAGATGACACAACTATAAATATGGTTGGGCCTGAGAGGTGCATAGTCTGATAACTATATGAACTCTGGGTTCTCAGGGCCATCATGACCCTCAGGGTCTCACTGAGGCCCTGTGACCCACCCACTACCCAGTGTGGGAGCCTTGGCAGTTTCTCAGATTGCAGATCTGGGACCTCCTTAGCTTGGGTTGGTTGTTGTTGTTGTTATGTGCCGTCGAGTCAAACCCGACTCATAGCGACCCCTCCTTGGGTTTCCGAGGCAGTATCACTACGGAAGTAGGATTGCCCAACCTTCCTTCCGAGGGTTGGTTAGAGCTCTGAAATACGAGGCATTCGCTGCAGGTAGAGTAGCCCAGCAAGCAGGAGAAATTCACAGTCCCCACCCCCTGACTCTAGTACCGCCATGCACCAGCACTTGGCCTGTATTCTTATTTATTTTAATGCTTGCAGTAGTCTTGCAGTATAGGAATGGCTCTTGCCATTTTATAGACAGAGATTGAAACTCTCAAAATAACTAGTTTGAGGTTAATAAGGCAGTAAGTGAAAGTTACTGGCTTGGCTTCCAGTTCTAGCAACATAATTTATAATACAGCAATAGCATTTCAAGCCCTAAACTTTAGAGGTCTTGACTGAGTAGTACTGAAGAGGTCCAGGGACAGGAGTGGTATTGCAGTCCCCAAGCTAAATTGCTTCCAGGCTGCCATTGACTTACCACGTGGGTGTCCTGTAACTGAACCCTGGAGAGACCAGCGCTCTCTTCTCTCAGCTGCATTCTTGAGCTGTACAGCTGGGGGCACCTTCTCTTTCATTGTCTCATCTAGTTTCTACAAAACTTGGAGAGACTAAGTGTGTCAGGGGGTGGTGGGGCAGAGCCACACCCTGGGGCTAGTGTTTCCCTTCAACTTTCCCCCAGTTCCCAAGCTTTGGAGGGAGGGATTCCCGCTTTGGGCAGGCTGAGACTTTAGCTTCTTGTATTGTAAACCTTACTTTGGGGATAATTTTCCCTGTATTACAATGAAGTGCAACTAGGAGTAAGATAGACCTTTTGAAAATAGCAAAGAATTTTAGCCAGACTGGTTGGTACCCCAAAGGAAACACTGACCACCCAAAAATACTAATCATTAAATTCATCATTTTCAACTCATAGTGTAAGCAAGAATCGGTGGGATTTCACAGAGTCCCTGGACCTTCGTTGGGGGTGTGCAAGTGGAGAGCTGGCCCCCAGGACAGCGGGCCTCCCACCCTCTGCATCTCAGGGCTCAGTGTGCTCAGGGCCTCCCCTGGTGGCCATAGTGGGCACTGCACTCAGCCCTCTCTTGAGTCCCAGACACCTTCTGGAGTCTTTGCTTCAACCTAGCTTTATGTCTCTCCCAGAAGTGTGGAAAGTAAGGGTTCCCTTCCCAGGGAAGGTTTCTCTGCCCCCTTTCCTAGAGTCTGAAGGGAATGAGGGATGAGGGATGGTTGACCTCCGGGCTCAGCCTTCTGGGCAGCTGTACCTTGGGAGCCAGCCACAGGGGCCTCAGCCTGCTCCTCTGGGAGCAGCACCTGTCCCCTTTCATTCTCCAATGATGAGCAGAGGACAAATGTGATATCCACAGGGGCCTTCACCAGGAGGAGCTAGTGGGAAGGGAAGGGATTCTGCTGCTCAGCAGAGTTTTGTCAGGAGCTTGGGACAATATTTACTTTTGGGGCACTTTCTGAAGGTCCCATTAACTTCTTTTGCCTCCAGGGATATGAGCAAAGGAGCCTAGAGCACAGGGGTGTTCTCCTGCACTCCATCTGACCACCCCAGATGTGACAGCATGGGAGCATTGTCTAACACTATCCTGGTTGCCAGTCAGCCCCTTGTGACTCCAGGTTTCTTTCATGCTGCTTGTTCTCAAAAGAACTGTGGCCAGACTGACCAAACCCAGTATCTGGCCAAACCAGGTTCATGCAGTCACCTACTCAGCAGGTCATCCCTCCCTATTACCTCTGGAGGACCCTGGCTATAACTGCCTCAATGCATTTGCAGGAAAAGTGAAACATACAGGTTGAGCTGACTAAAAGACACAGTAGATTGTGACAGACACTGAATATTTGTATACTGAGTTTATAATCACACCTCCAGGTTCACTCATCCAGTCTTCCCCTGCCTGCAGGATATAAAGGTCAGGATGGTGTCCCCTGCTTTACAGATGAGGGAACCCAGTAAATGATTTGTCTGAAGCTTTCTTTTTAATGTGTGATTTAAACCCCAAACCCACTACCATCAAGTTGATTCTGACTCTTTGCTATACTATAGGACAGAGTAGAACTGCTTCATAGGGTTTCCAGGGCTATAAATCTTTATGGAAGCGGACTGCCTCATCTTTCTCCCATGGAGTGGTTGCTGGGTTCTAACAGCCAAACTTTTGGTTAGCAGATAAATGCTTTAACCACTGCATCACCAGAGCTCCTTAAGGTGTAATTTATATTCTGCCTTTCTACAAAACACATAAAAGAAGACAGGTGAGCATTTTAAATGTCTAAGACAATTTAAAGAAAAAAAAAAAAAAAAGAATTGGTGGTACACAGAGTGAGAAGGAGATGAAGTTCTGAAGCAGAGCTTGGCTCCAGGCCCCCATCTCCATCTTATTCCTCCTCCATTCTCTGAGCATCCCCTGCTCTGGGCCTTCCTCTCTCACCAGGAACAGCCAGCTCTGGCCCAAACTAAGAGAGCATGGTACATGAGGAGTCCTAAGGCCTAACTCCTTCTAGTTCTCTAAGCTGATTCTGGCTCTCTAGGGAAAGGAACCCTCCCTCTCCCACATTCCCACCCCCACCCTTGCCCTCATGCTTCCCAGACTGCTCCAGGAACCAGGGCTCACCCAGCCATGGGGCCCAGAGCTGGCCCAGGCTAACTTGGCCTCAGGTTCCCTTGCTAAGGCTGCATCTGGCCTGGACCTAGGACACGTGGAGTGAGCAGGCCTCTGGCTTGCCTGATGTGCAGAGACTATTGAACAGTACCCCACCCCTACCCCACAGTAGAGAGCCTGGCCTTGCAGAGGGTCTCCTGGGAGGACGCCTTGAGGAAAGGTCAAGGACAGCCCTTGATACAGATGAAGTTCTGAAGCAGAGCTTGGCTGTGGGCTGCCCTGTGGGCTGAGCTGGTACAGAATTCTGCCTTCCCACGCCAGTCTCAGACTCACTTGGCACTGAGGGACTGTTCTTGAACAAGAGAGCAGCTCACTCTGGAGCTCACCAGCAGCCAAGCTGACTCCATGCGTTTCTCTTGGGCCTCATGGAACACTGACTGTGAGGGTGGGGCTGAGCTGGTAGTACCCCAGGCCCCGTTCTGTGCCCTCTGGTGTGCAGAGACCTTGTCTTCCACCCCATATCCTGCCTATGACATGATCACAACCAACATCTTGTGCACGGGCTCATCACGCACATCTCACGTGTGTGTGTGTGCACGCACACAATCCTATTCACTCATCAGAACATTGGGGAGGAAGGTACTGTGAATTGTCCCAATTTTACTCATAAGGAAACTGAGGAACTAAATCAGTTGCTCAGGGTGATCTGTCAATAGGTGGCAGGGCAAGTGGGTTCAGTGGCAACACTCATGGACAATGGGGCTGCCCCCTCCTTCTCATCTCAGCACAGGGGTCTGGCTCTGAATTATCAAAGCAGGCAGCCCCTACAACCAGAGGCCTGCCAGGAACAGTGTGCACCAGGGAGTGGGAGCACAGGGAGAACAAGCACACTTGGGAAGGCAGCCAATGACATGTAGCAGGCATGCTTTTTACAGAAGAAGACTTTATTGGGAGGGTCAGAGTTCATGAATCACTGGGAGGTGCGAATGGAGAGTTCTGAGGGCAGTGCCATTGTGGCTGGGGTTGGGCCCAGCTGCCTGGTGCCCATGCTGTGATGGTTCCACCAAAGAGTGCCCAGGTGCCCTGATATCACAGAACCTAATTCTGGGGCCGCTTCTGGGCTTGCCCATGTCCATCTGTCTGTGCGGACCACATGGGTCAGCAGAGGGGCCAGTCCTTCTCAGCAGGTCCCTCCTACTTGGCTGCTTTTCCTGGGACCCCCCAAAGAGCCAATCCAGGGGGTCAGCAGTGCTGGCCCCAGGCAGTTGGGGCCACTGGCTGCTGAAGCAGGTGGTGATTTCCTCTGAAGACATGGTAGGGCAGCCCTTCCTCCAAGCTTGGGCTGATCGGTGCCATCTTCTGGGTCTTCCCCAAGCTGGGGCCTCATCCAGTACAGAAGTGGGCTGTGCCAGTTGACAGATGGATCTCACGTAGTCATCCAGACTGGGGGAGGGTGGGGGTTCCTGCACAGGCCCCCTGGACAATATCTCCTCTGAGGATTCCCGAATTGTGGGCAGGAGACCAACAGAGATCAGAAGCCGAGATCGCATTGCAATTGTCTAGGGGCAGATGAATAGCCTGTGGGTCAAAGAGGAATGGTGATAAGGGGCTGCGTGGCCATCCTGACACCCTTCTCTTATCCTCCACCTCAGGCCCTCATGTGAGACTACCCACCCGAGCCCACATCCACTTGGGATAGGCAAGGCAGACAGGCTGCAGTGTGAGGGCGACCTAAACTCCGAGGACTGGGAACAGGTGCATGACCAAACCTGAGCTGGATATGGACTCCTGGGCTCTGTCTTCCTGCTGACATAAAAAACCCATAGGCTGAAGACTTTATTATTACTGTCATTTAAGATGTGCTCAAATAAGAGAGCCCAGCCTAACGGACTTGGGTCAGAGAAAACCTGGGTTTAGATCCAGGATCTGCCACCTATTTACCTTATGACCTTTGGCAAAACACCTCTAAGCCTGGTTACTCATCTATAAAACAGAGCAATAAACACCTGCCTCACAGAGTTGTTGTGAGAAACACATGAAATGCAGCCCCCTGAGAAATTCCTCCACAAACTACAACTGCCAGGCACTCCACAGATGTTGTTGCTGTCACTGAGCTCAGTGGCATCACTGGTCCCTAACATGCAGTCAGGCTGCTTGGGTCCCAGGCTGAGAAGTGCCTCCCAAGATAAAGAAGAGCCTTTTTGTCTTATCTCGAACCAGAGGGCAATTGCACTCTTACCTGTAGCGGAGGGGGCCAGGGGCAGCAGGAAGTCAGAGGATAGCCCCAAAACACTCTGGGCTGAAGGCTTGGGTCCAGCGTCAAGTTGGCAGGACAAGGAAGGCGAGAACTACGTGTCCAGATGAACCAGGATGTCTGACAAGCCTCACACCCTACCAGCTCCTTTTATACCTTCCAGCCAGACATCAATTACTGTCAAGAGAGCTAAAAATAGCCACTCTGGAAGGATCTGAGAAAAACAGCCTGGGGGTGGGCCCTGGCCCAGCTGCAGCCTAGCACATGTGTCCGCAGCTGTGAGAGACCTGGGATTGTTTATGCTGTGGCCTGGGGAGGGGCCGGCAAGCTCCCTAGCCACCACTGGGCTGTGTCACTACCACTGTTTATAAATATTTCCCATTCCCTAGTGGCACAACCCTGTGTCCTGGCTTACTGGTCCCACAGAGCCCTCAACCCTCAGCCTATGCAGTTGGATTCATCCTTGGTGACTATGATGGGATCCTGTGATGCGGGCCCCCACCCTGGAGGCAGCCAATGCCAGGTTCAAGGCTCTAAGGACTGGGACCAGGACAGCTTGCCAGAAACTGTTCTTGACCCTTAACCAAGTTCTGCTTTAAAGCTTTAGCTGTCCCCTTATTCAGCGGATACCTAACAAGTATTCTTTTGCAACTGGTGTGTACAGGGCACATACACAGCATGAATGGAGTCACTGTGCGCAAGTACCAACAAAAACCACAGAGAAGAGTCAAGCAGGGGATGGGGAGAGAGTGGACAATCAGGTGTCCTCCAGAGAGGGGACATTGAAGCAGAGATCTGAGCAGGCAGGGGACCAAGTGAAAATCTAGGGCTAGAAGTATGTGGTCCAGGTGGAGGGGACAGAACATAACAAGGGTGTGCTGGATGTGCTTGAGGGGCAGCAAGAGACCTGTGTGCCCAGACCATATGGGACAGGCCAGGGAGAACTGGTCCTCATCATGGACTCTGGGTTTCCCACAGGCCAAAGTGTTCTGACGAGGGGTAGAAGCTCTTCCCAGGGACATGCTGACATGTGGCAGAAGCACCTGAAGCCAAGGCAGGAAATGAACAAATGAACCCCACTTTAGGTTTTCTTGTTATTTCCATGGTTTTGGTTCCTACCTCTTAAGAGATCAATGCTCGCCTTTCTTTTAGAGGGGAGAGGCTTAAAATACCTAATGGTTATTTATTTGCTGCCTGTGTCAATATCAGTAGTTATCAGAAATAGCTCTTTTTTTTTTTCTTTGAAGCAAATGAACAAGGTTGTATCAGAACATTGTGTGTATTTTTAATAACCTTGGACAGATTAGAACAATTTTCTCTGTGGATTAACAGAGTGCTTTAGACTATTAAACATGATTTTAGATGTGATTAAACATCACGTCATCACTGCCCGAGACACCACTGTGAGTGCTGCCAAGGATAGAAGTTTCCCATAACTTCCCATAGGGCTTCCAGTGCCAGTGAGGAGAAAAAGTGTGAATTTGTGTATCCCAAAGATTGTTCTAGATAGCAATGGGAGATGATGTTTGAAATGAATTGCCAAGAGACTAGTATGAAAGGAAATGAGGAATTCAGAGCCGAAACCAGAGCCAGGAGGAACAAGGCTGTAGGGAGAGGAAAAGGGTGGGAGGTACCTGGCAGGAGGCTCTGAGAGTGCAGAGGAAATAGCCTGGTCAGGCTCACGGGTGAGGAGCTGGGACAGAGACCCTGGAGGTAGGCACGGTAGATGGGAGCCTACATGAGGTTCAAGAAACAGCCGGAATGAAGAGATGTGCGTGAGCACAGCCTGCACCAGAGGGCATCAGGTGGAGGGGACCAATTAGGACTCTAAGTTTTGATGACAGGGGTCATAGCAGTGCCATTTACAAACCTAAGAAACTGAGGCTGGTTGGGGACAAAGATGATGATGACAGCTCTGGATGTTCTTAGGGTATACTGGTAGAGCATGTGGCTAAGATGTCAACAAGAATGACTCTCAGGAAAGAAGCCAACTTAGGGGCCTAGGAGAGGTTTGAGCCACTATAAGGGGTCAGAATCACCAACAGGAAGAGTATTGGGGGAGAGGGTCAGACTGAAACCAATTCTACCCTGGTGGTCACCAAACCCGGCACCCTTGGCACACTTCCAATAGAACTTAGTGGTCAAGGACCCCCAAGCCAGGCCATCTGCTGGTCAGGGAGCTGCCCCTGCACATCCTGGAGCATGTTTCCTCTTCAGTGGTGTGGACGTGCCTCCCAGACAGTACTGGGTTCCTGTGGGGACCAGACTCCCCAATGTTGTCCCCAAGCTGTGCCAAGCCAAGCTGTGGAAGTACACGCCTCAGGTTTCCTCCTGGGGACTTGTGGCCCATGCTACAGAGCATGTAGAGGCCCATGCAGTGAACCTGAACCTGGGGATGTATGTGTAGCTGGGGACCTGAATGTCCAGGGCACAAAGTAGATAAGAGGCTTAGCCCTAAGGGGGCAGAGAGAGGGTGGGAAGTGGCCCTTGAGGTCTACTGCTCAAAGGAAGAAGCTGACCTTGTGTGCACCCCACAGGAAGAAGGGGCTCTGATCATCGAGGGACTCCTCAATATCTCCTGGGGGCTGAGGCGGCCCATCCGGCTCCAGATGCAGGATGACAGGGAGCGACTGCACCTCTCCCACACTGTGTGGACAGCCGGGCAGCCCAGATGTGACCAGTGAGTGCTGAATTTGGACAGACTGGGCCAGGTAGTCCTGGTGACAAATGTCGGACATGAGTCTACAGTTTGGAATGTGTCCTCGGCCTCAACACCAATTTCTCAAGTCATACCCAATCAACATGCATCCTTACCCCAGAGTGATCATTCTAGATTACACCCAGGTCTCCTCACTTTCTTCCCTGAACATTCTAATCTCCCATCACCTCCAGTTGTGTCTCTCAAAAATGCACCAAACCACCTTGTCTTCAAAGAGAGAGAACTGTATTACTGGCAGTTCAAACACCCTCTGCAAGCCAAAAATTTCTTGGTATCTCCTGTCTTCTTAAAAATTCACATAAATTTAGCTTCTTAGTACCCTGTAATGTTTTATTTTGATATCAGAAGAATATTTTGATCAAGATGAAATAGTTCTCTCTCTGCATTGTTATTTAGTGAATTTTCAGCTTCTTTCCCATTCCTAAAAAGGGAGGGGGGCTGTGTGGCCATCCTGAAATCCTTCTCTCAACCCCCCACTCAGGCCCTTATGAGAGGCTACCCACACAAGCTTCTGAGCCCACATTAGATGCTGAGTTCTTGCTTGTTTCTGCATGCAAGAAATCCTTTCAGGAGGCAAATATTCCAAATATTTCTCCCCTTCAAATACTGAAATAAAAACTTGGTGCTTGGAGAGGATTCAGCATGTAGGTGCCCCAGCATCACATGGCCCTGACACCTCCCCATGTGTAGATCACTCATAGAGAAATCTTAAGAAATGCAGATGTAGACCATAAAGTCCAGACCACCTAGAAAGCTGCAAGTGCAACTCATGGTGCCCTCCCCATCTGCCATCACAGACAGACCCAACTAGCATCTGGAGCAGCAGCCCCGGGTTCCGCCCTGTGTGTCCACAGGAACCTCAGTGGCCTCAGCATAACTTGGCTGTTTCTAATTCTTTCTCCCCATCAGTAACACACTGTCCCAAGCCTCACCAAGCTGTGTTCCACCATGCCCCTTCCTTCTCCTGCCACACACTGGCTACTCTAGCAAGAGGCCCAGAGGTTGCTTGCTTGAAGTGGACCTTGTCCAGAGGGTCCCTGCCCGACACTTCCCCAGGAATGCATGGAGCACTGCACGTGTCCATGTGATGGAGCTCAGCACAGGCCATTCAGCCCATCTGGGCCAGACTCACTCTCCTTCCTCCAGATACATGGGGAAGTCCTTGCTTCCCTTTAATATTTAGATTGGGTCCTTAGCATGAAAATCCAGCTTCAGCCTTGGTTGCCCTCCCTGCTTCTAGCCCACATCTGCCCTCCAAAAGGAGCCAGCCTCTTCTTTTTCACCTGAGGTACTTTTCTCTGCTGGCAGGAAATCTGAGCATGTCCTTGTGTCTTTTCAGAAAGGAGCCCCCTCCCCAGGACAACAGCAGGGGCCCTGCTGAGGAGCCAGGCATGGGGCCCTTGCAGAGGGCTGAGAGCTCTGGACAAAGCCCAGGTAAGGGCCTGTAAGCTGCTGGAGGCCCTGTCTCATCTCAGCCAGATGGGAGGGATTCTCTGAAGACAGCTTTGTAGAGGAGCAAAGAGCAACTTCATCTGTCTTCAGTACCAAAAGGAAAATCACTGCCGTCGAGTTGGATC